TGGCAAAGGCCAGATCTTTTTTTTTTTTTTTTGCGGTACACGGGCCTCTCATTGTTGCGGCCTCTCCCGTTGCGGAGCACAGACTCTGGACACGCAGGCTCAGTGGCCATGGCTCATGGGCCCAGCCGCTCCGCGGCATGTGGGATCTTCCCGGACTGGGGCACGAACCCGTGTCCCCTGCATCGGCAGGCGGACTCTCAACCACTGCACCACCAGGGAAGCCCCAAAGGCCAGATCTTTGAGTAAACTTGGGCAAAGTGGATTAAGACCATGTACTTTTAACTTCTCTTTATTTTCTATAATTCCCTCATGATTTATCTTCTTGAAAACAGTTTACTGAGAAGGGTGACATGATGAGAAGGAGGGGAGGGAAAGCAGTGGAGAAGCCGGGGGGTAAGAGCTAAGGTCTGGCTGGCAGGAGGGCAGCTAAGAAATCCCGGCTTCCCTTAGAGGACGGGGCAGGTTACTCAGCTGACTGTAAAACCCTCTGGGCAGTGAGGCCACCCCTCCTGAAAATAAATCGGCACTATCCCTAGCACTGAAATTCCTATAGCAAGATGGACTAAGACGAGACATATTACATGTCAGAGGAAGAATTACTGACACCCGGGTTTCTGGGAAAAAGAGGCAATGGGATGCCTGTGGTTATCTGACCCTTTCTCCACTCCGAGGTTTCTTCTTGCAGCCCCGGAAGGGAGGCCAAAAGAAAACCAAACACCCTTTAGCTGTTCTGGGTTTCGACAAAACGCTGGCTACAGGGCCCTTCAGAGATTCAGAGTAACTTCCATTTTTAACTAAGCTGGTTAACTGAGGACTAGAAACCGCGAACACACGATGGACAAGATCAACAGGGGCCCTGGTCCCTTGCAGCCTATGGCACTGCTCATCTCTGCTCTTCCTAGCCTTTGCTCTCACGTGACTCCTTGAGTTTTCCTTCTTCTCTTGGATCACTGTCCTACTTGCCTAACCCAAAACCTGTATCTTTCCCCTTAAAATATCCAGACTTGCGGCTCAACCTCACCAAAAGAAAGGCAATGCATAGTTTGTTTGTTTTTAATAGTGAACCTATTAAGTAAAAGCATAGCATTCATTTATCTCAGCTTATCATTAACTGTATCAGAGACAACCTGAATGACTACCTCCCAAACCTCCTTCACTTTACTCCCTGTCATCAGATATATCAGGATGAAGAGAGAGAAGGAAACTCTATCCACAATTCTTGTGTTTTGTTTAAACTGTCTAAGAACTTTCCCATGAATCAGATGTTGGATCTGATTACTGTAATCTTTAAATCAACCTAAATAATTAAAGTCTAGGGTGAGAATAGAGAAGAAATCAGAACTGTTGGTGATCTTAGCTGACTAATTACCATTTAATTTTTAAGAAAAACATCTGACTAAAAGACAGCTTTTTATGGAATTATGTTTTAAATTGGGATAATAATTTTTTTTCCCCCCTGTGGCATTTTGTTCTAAGAAATAACTTAGGACTTCCCTGGCAGTCCAGTGGTTAAGACTCGGCACTTCCAATCCAGGGGGTGAGGGTTCGATCCCTGGTCCAGGAACTAAGATCCCATGTGCTACGTGGCGTGGCAAAAAAAAAAAAAAAAAAAAAAAAACTTAATATGGCCAATCGCCTCATTACTGTGAATAAAATACATATTTCTTAATACCATAAAGAAAAGGAGCACAAGGAAACACAAAGATGCTCTGGAAACACAAAACCTTTCAAAAGGAAATATGTGACAATGTGAAAGGTCAAGAATCCAATAAGAGCAAGAAAGAAATAGAAGATGCAGCAGGACACTGCAAGTTTGTTCCTTTTTCCCTGACAATCTGCACCTTTGATTTCATTTTTTGTTGCTGTTCTGTAAGAATTTAATGTGTAAACAAACACAGAAAAATAAGCATTACAGCAACAAAACAGGTTTGCATCTTATATAGAAATTTTAAAGACACTTCACCAACAAGTATGAGGTTAATCTCTGTATTAAAGCTTACGTTCTTATAGAATAATTTAGCGGTCTCAGATTTTAAGCCAGAAAAACAAGACTCATGCTGGTAAAGCAACCTGCAAATACCTTCTGTCTGTTCTCACAATTAGTCTACTTTAAACATAAAAAGACCTTCCAGGGCTTCCCTGGTGGCGCAGTGGTTGAGAGTCCGCCTGACGATGCAGGGGACACGGGTTCGTGCCCTGGTCCGGGAAGATCCCACGTGCCGCAGAGCGGCTGGGCCCGTGAGCCATGGACGCTGGGCCTGCGCGTCCGGAGCCTGTGCTCCGCAACGGGAGAGGCCACAACAGTGAGAGGCCCGTGTACCGCCAAAAAAAAAAAAAAAAAAAAAAAACCTTCCAAAGGGGGAAGACCCTGCACTTAACGGAGATTGCTGGGACCTCCTAGGGAAATCCCTGCCCATAGGAGACGCTTTACCATCTGCAGGACTAAAATGGTGGCAACAAATTGAAAGCCAGGAAAAGATTCCTGTAACTTTGATGTATTTGCCCAATTTAAGTGTTACCTTCAGATGTATAATAAAGCAAGTAAACAGAACCATAAAGATAAGCTTTCTATAAATTAAATGGTATTTGGCTATAGTACTAAGGAGGTGAGAGAATAAGAAACTTATGTTAATTATCAATCCTAAATGACTACTTGCCCATTGCAACTGAAAACTGAGGACTCTAAGTATGGCAGATTGCTAATACTTTAGAGTGTTTTATTCATGTTTTCCATTTAGAATCCTTAAAAGTTTTGATAAGCTCCTTTAACTAAGAAATCACATAGGGGCTTCCCTGGTGGCGCAGTGGTTGAGAGTCCGCCTGCCGACGCAGGGGACACGGGTTTGTGCCCCGGTCCGGGAGGATCCCGCGTGCCGCGGAGTGGCTGGGCCCGTGAGCCATAGCCGCTGAGCCTGCGCGTCCGGGGCCTGTGCTCTGCAACGGGAGAGGACGCAGCAGTGAGAGGCCCGCGTACCGCAAAAAAAAAAGATATCACATAGGATCAATACAATACTGAACTAACAACGGTCCTCACACTCATACTGAATTATCTGAGGAAATATTACAATTCAAAGTGGTCTTTTTCCTGAGAAAGCCATGTTACAAAATGGCACAAGACAATACACATTTTCTCCAATTTTTTTCCACCAGAAAATAAGAAGGGAAAATCAGATTATAATATATTTTATGAGGAAAACATGTTTGTTTCTCAAAACTGTTTTCAATCACTTTTCCATCTACAATTTTTTTTTTTTTTTTTTTTTTTGCGGTACGCGGGCCTCTCACTGCTGTGGCCTCTTCCGTTGCGGAGCACAGGCTCCGGACGTGCAGGCTCAGCGGCCACGGCTCACGGGCTCAGCCACTCCGTGGCACGTGGGATCTTCCCGGACCGGGGCACGAACCCGTGTGCCCTGCATAGGCAGTCAGACTCTCAACCACTGCGCCACCAGGGAAGCCCCACCTACAATTTTTTAAAGGGTGAGAACCAAATTTAAATTAAGGATGATCATTTCTACAAGGTGAGAGAATGAATACATATGGTAAACTTTGTACTTTATATTAAAGTGAAGAAACTAAGGCAAAAAAAGTTAATCAAGCTCAATTTCAAGGTTGAGTTTAATAGTAAAGGTAGAAATAGAATCTAGGGCTCTGATTCTCAGGTTAGAGGGTAATGGGTGGTATCTTCCCAAGAGGGAAACATTTATTCCTTTTGGTGGGTAATGTTCATAAATCATTTTTAAAATATATAATATGAATTTCCTTGAAAATCTTTGGCATATGTGAGTCACTGGAGTCTGAAGTTTATAGAAATCCTCTCCCCTACCCCAATACAAAAAGGCAGGGGAGCTAGTTTTTAAATGAATCAAAAAAGATTAATCTTGAATGGATAAAGAAAATGTGGCACATATATACAATGGAATATTACTCAGCCATAAAAAGAAACGAAATTGAGTTATTTGTAGTGAGGTGGATGGACCTAGAGTCTGTCATACAGAGTGAAGTAAGTCAGAAAGAGAAAGACAAATACCATATGCTAACATATATATGGGATCTTAAAAAAAAAAAAAAAGGGTTATGAAGAACCTAGGGGCAGGACAGGAATAAAGACACAGATGTAGAGAATGGACTTGAGGACATGGGGAGGGGGAAGGGTAAGTTGGGATGAAGTGAGAGAGTGGCATGGACTAATATATACACTACCAAACGCAAAATAGCTAGCTAGTGGGAAGCAGCCGCATAGCACAGGGAGATCAGCTTGGTGCTTTGTGACCACCTAGAGGGGTGGGATAGGGAGGGTGGGAGGGAGATGCAAGAGGGAGGAGATATGGGGATCTATGTATATGTATAGCTGATTCACTTTGTTATAAAGCAGAAACTAACACACCATTGTAAAGCAATTATACTCCAATAAAGATGTTTTAAAAAAAAAAGATTAATCTTATTTTCAAAGTGACCTGAGTTTTATTCTGCATTGTTATAGAAATCAATTGGATAGCTGAGTCCTGTGAAACGTAACAGAGGGCACTACACCTCACAGATTACACACACATGCATCCTGCAATGAGATTTATATGACTAGAACTTAGTCCACATTTTTATGAAGTACAAAATTAAATCTCAGTCTAATTTTTCATAAGCCAATGACTCAAAGATATCAAACTTGTTACAGTGGGATGATTAATTCATATATTGTATGGTATGGAGTTAGCCCCCAATTCAGGTATTTTTAATATTCATCCGAGGCCTTTGCATTGGTTGAGATGTAAGCTGTGCAATTTATTTATTTGCTTTCATTTTGATTACTCTCATCCCAGGGTTAGAATGTGACCATGCTTTTTCCCTTCCATCATTATCTTTCTGCACAGGGCCATCATTTTTCAGACAGAATACCTCCTAGAATTTCACAATGCTACAAACTGAGAGAGGAGGGTGGGAGAAGGGAAATATTTATTTTAAAAACATGTAATGAAATATAGGAACCAATTCCTTTTCAGACTCACCAAACGCTGGTGCACTAGAAATAGCAACTGGTTGCTGTTTCATGACAGGGGGAAGTGCGGAGGGGAGCTGATATCCTTGCAGCTTCAGTTTGATGAGTTTCATAGCTATGGAAAACTCCACTTGATCCATTCTTCCATCATTATTCATATCAGCAAGCGCCCTGCAAACCAACAGCATGGGCTTAGAATGACTGTGCCCTTAAAAGAACCTTTCCCAAACCACCACTCCCACCCACACAAAAACTAAATAATCAGCTCCCTCGGTCCCGGGGAAAACGAAACAAAACAAAACTTGTT